TACTTCCGGATCGACGGATTGACGGAAAAACGGATGCATGAAAAGTAAGCTTAAATCCGGTTTTTATCCCTCTCTATTTTTTGTTGTTGTCGAGTTGGCATCGAGCATTTAAAGTATCTTTAAAATATGACGTGTGACTAGCTAGAAATCCAGCCTTCCTATTGGTTAATACGCCCACAAGAATCAGTGCGCATGCGCGGAGGATAGGATTGAATCCAGTGGAAGCTTCTTGACATTGGTTTATGACGTTGAGTGTTATTTTCCGAAACCGCTATCAAAATAAGACGAAATAATGGCGTTGTCATAGTTCGGCTGCCATCCTGATCTGAAAATGTTCAGTTGTTTACGTTACTGCCGACTGACTCTGAAAATAGTTTGGTTGATTTTTGGTATACCTATAGCAAGTAAGTAGCATGTAAAAAAATACCTTGCAATTGTACGGTACAAACCGGAGTCCGGAGTCCCACGGTCACTCTTGTAGATGTTCAATTACGGTTTTATTTAAGCTTTGCTTGAAATCAAGTAACCAGTAAATACTGGTTAAATAAACGGTTAGGGCCGGTTTATCAATAAAGGGTTACCCCATGAGTTACAAATAACCTTGGGTCAAAGTTGTAACAAGTGTTTATCCATCCAGGGTTAACTGCTAACTGGAAAGTTATTCCAGGAAAAGTTAACCCGCGCTCTCACGGCAAGTTAGCGTATTTGACCCTGGGTTAACCTCAAAATTTTCTCTTATTTTCTATTTGATTTTTTTTTAAAAGTGGGGGTTTTGGATTGAATTTTCATGTTGTGAAGAGATGGAGGACCTAGATTTCAGTGATGATGATCGGGATGTTCTAGAATTTTTAGAACATGCATGAGCGGCGCCTCTACCACTTAAGGTTGCGGTCAAATCGCTTTGATGATTTTGACGACGTCAACTTCATTGCACGTTTTCGCTTGCGAAAGAAATAATTTTATTTGTTCTAGAACAAATCGAACATAGACTTGAATTCCCAACAATCCTGTTTGTTGGGGATTTGAGTATATTGTATATTTTTACACAGAATACACGAAACCAAACTTTCCGCTAGTGGAGATTTACACCAAAGTAGCATGCGATGTGCGACTTGCTGCTAGAAGGCAAGGAGCATGATATCTACTTATTTTAGAACCTTTAGAAATATATGGCTGGTTTCATACCAGAGTGATTCGAACATATCGTATATTTTAGTTTGCGACGTATTACGTATTTGCAAGACGGTCAAACGTTGTTTATAGATTTTTGACTTGTTTCGTAGACGAGTATCGATAAATTGGGTAGCTCTGTGCGACTTTGGTGTTAATGTAAATATGGAAAACGAAAGTTGCAACGTGCTTCCTGCTTCCTAGCCCACCTACGGAAACAGAAAAAAAAATAACATAAATAAGTAAGGTTATGAACAGAAAATGTCAAAAAAACAATGAAAATTAACTGGCAACGTTGCATAAGTAATGTCAACCTTCGAAAAACCCGAGAGTTTACCAGCCCTGGGTTAAAAAAGCTTGGATAAACACCTTTCGACTTAACCCGATAGTTAGCCCAGAGTTAGAGTTGACCCAGGGTCAGCAAACTCTGCGAGTTATCCCTTGATTAATAAACCGGCCCTCACCAATTACTGACTGCGACGGCCATTTTAACTGACATTTCAGAAATGTTAAAATGTGTTAAACCTTGACGTCATTTGACAGAAAATGATGACAATGACAAACCATCTCTTGCTTCAAAGTTCCGGTATGCATTTATTCATTCCGTACATGTATATGACACCTAGCACAATTCCATTGGTCAGATTTAAAATTTAAACCAATTAAACTTCGAGTGCCATACGCGCGTACGGAATGTAAATCAGTGCCATATGCACTTACGGAATGTCATACCTAGTTATTGCAGCAGAAAATTTTGTTAAGCTGAAAACGAGTTAATCGTCAATTATTCTTCAACTATAGGTATGTATTTTACATTACATTACAAATATGCGGTGTATCAATCCAAGTTTCGGTCAGCAAAGAAAATATACATAGTATCAGAGCGAGAGTGGAAAGCGTCAATATGTTTATTGAATAATATAACAAAACAAGAACACTTTATACAATATCAGTGAGCTAGAAGTGCCAAATTCGCTATTTTTATAAAGCATTAGATTAACAACATTCTAAAAGTTGATGGTCATGGTGAATTTGTTAAAGACACAAATTCTTCCACCCATCTTCTAGCGTCATTTTCAGTCATTAGGTTTGCTCCATATTTTCCAGAATTGTGTTCAAAATATTTATAATTCAAAGGTAGCAACGTTGTCGCAGCATGCATGGCGATTTCAAACACCGAAATAACTACAAGAGATTTGATTAAAATAATGTCGGCGAAGCAATAACTGCCAATTTCTTGTTCGAAACATTTTTGAGAAAATCGAAAGATAGGACGGAACGCCGAACTTACTTCTATGACCTACCTATGTAAGCCCGACAATCACAAAAATAAAACAGGATATTTGGCCACTGGAGACGTGATTTTGCCTGCGCATAACGCATAACTAGGTATATTACAATCCGTAAGTGCATATGGCACTGATTTACATTCCGTACATGCGTATGGCACTCGAAGTTTAATTGGTTTAAATTTTGAATCTGACCAATGCGATTGTGCTAAGTGCCATATACATTTACGGAATAAATAAATGCTTCCGGTATTGACCTTTGTATGTAACCCGTGCACCCTTGGCTGTTTTTCCACTTATTCATGAATGTATTTCCAAGGGTAATATTAACACCCATTTGACAAAACTAACAGTAAGAATAACCGACAGCAGTGGAATATAATAAAATTAATACATATGAACAATACAGACGAGCACTTTTTTTACAATATACCTACTATTTGAGACAGGTCCATCATCAAACATGATTTTTAAAATTGATTAATTTTGGGTAGTAAGTCCCACATATTAAAAAAAAATCAGAAGAACGAATCTAACATTACAATGTATAGATACGGAGGCAGGCCTTGCGAGGCGTAAATCTGCCCATTCATCGTGCCTTCTTTTGCCGACTGTGGGAATATCGTTTTTGCAATCGCCATCTCGTCAATTGCATATCTCGTCTATTGACGATGACTGACGTCTAGTCATCTTGTCCAGTCACCGTCCGACGATCGAGTTTTCAATAAAATTTCGATGATCGAAAGTTAATAGATATTTTCGGTTCTTTTTTTTTTTTGTTTATTTCGTTGCACTTTAAAAGCCCAACCGACCGACACGAATCGGCAATTAAAAACCTGCCAACTAACTTCATATTGCACGGATTGATGGTAATTTTATTTATGGACGCGAAAGTAATTATCCATATCATGATGCGTTTTAATTAATTAATAACATATTATTTATGATATCTTGAACAAAAATGCACTAATGACATTTTCTTTTTCTTTAATTTCATATTGCATAGTATGCCTACTATGGCTTGATTTTGTTTCTGGTAGGCGCTCATGTGTCAATTGTCACTTCTGTCAATTTCCAGCCAAAAAAATAAATAATTATGCAGAATTATAGATCATATTATGTGGCAACATTGTTACTTAAATTTTTGAATCTCGCCTCCTGAAAATGCAGTTGCTAATGGCCTGTAGCCGGCCAATCATCATTAAAAATTATACAGTGATGGCCGGTTTATCTTTTTCGAAGGATTTTTATAAATTTCACGGCTATTAAACTCTCGGATAATGCTTCCAAAAAATTCCTGCCGTCCAATCTGATCGTTTTTTTTTTTAACACTTCATACCCGACAGCTAAAGGAGTATCGCCCACCGGTACCTACATACACATTCGCGGTGACGTCAGTTTTTAGTAGGCGCACCGGTACCCGACCAACTTTGGCATATCGCATCAAAAGCAGTTATATCGACGCGGAAAGTACTAAATTTGACGCCTCCGAAAACCGAAATCAAGTTTTCTTAACTGTAACCCGGAGGTACCACCTGATAGAAAAAAAAATTAAATTTACGATCTTGAGAGATTCAAAAAAAAACAAAGAGTAATCTTCAATTAAATTTTTTCGCTGTTTACGGTCAGCAACCAAGTCCAATGTCAAGGTTACATTTTTTATGGGCTTCTCTTAAAAACAATTAAACTCGCAATTGGCCATGGTAAAACTTGCGGCTCAATTAAAACGAAGAATCGGTTACAGTTTAACAGATTTTTACGTAAGCGGGTTCGTAGATACGATACGACCTTTCTTCCAAACTCAGATAGAATTTTATTCAAGTTTATAAGACAAAAATCATGACCAATCTAGGCCTGGTTTGTTCATAGTGCGATAAACTTGCTGGTAACTGACTTTAAGACAAATATTGCAAACTATCTGGCCGACCAATATGATTATAAATTGTATTTTTATCCATCAGATTATGGGAAAGTAAATAAACCGAACCTTAAACCCTCGCTTAAACCTATTTGAACAGGCAATTTTTCGCGAGGATAACCAAGCATAATCTTATGCTAAATTAGGTGATGTGTCATTTGTGTCGTACACCCCTAACCTCTAGGTACCATAAAATTATGGGATACTCGAGAATCAAAGAACACTTTATTTCTTCTGTGAGAACGAGAACAGACCGAAAATCACATTTTCTACATTTAAAATCGACGAAAAAATTTACTCATACCACAGCCTGAATCGCAAATTCCATCGAGGTTTGTGGGTGACGTCATCACTATTAGCTGCTGGTAGTGACGTTACTCACAGGCCCAAAATTTGATGGAGAGTATGACATAATTGACACATCACATAACCCAGCATAATCAGATTATGCTTGATTATCCTGGCGAAAAATTTGCTTAACGTTTCATGGCAACCTATAACAGTGTATCAAAATGAAGCAAAAGCCATAGACATTTGACAGTTGACACTTTTGAGAGTGACTATATAAATTAAGTGTATAATTGATTAATTGGTTTATCTTCAACTACATTTTTTTGTTTCAGCTTGTGTTTGGTGGATTTAATTTGAGCCTGCTGGCTGTCAAAGGATCTTCTTAGAGGTAACGTATTTTTCCTTATTTTAGGCAATTTTTCGCGAGGATAATCAATCAATCAATCAATCAAGTATAATTGATTATGGTGGATTATGTGATGTGTCAATTGTGTTATACTCCCATACCATCAAATTCTGGGATACCTAATTTCTTCTGTGAGGACAACCGAAAATCACCTTTTCTACATTTAAAATCGACGAAAAAGTTAACTCACTAGCGGAGCCTCAATCGCGAGCATTCCATCGAGGTCTGCGGCTGACGTCATCACTATAAGCTGCTGATAGTGACGTCACTCGCAGGACCTAAATTAGATGGAAAGGGAGTTAGGGGAGTATGACAAAATTGACACATCACATAACCCAGCATAATCAGATTATGCTTGATTACCCTCGCGAAAAATTGCCTTTTCATTGGTTCAAAATGTTAACTCTAATCACTAATGAGAATCATAGACGACGTTCCTTCGACAAATTTTCAAACTAAATATAAATCCAACCATCCAACTATCTTTTAATAACAAGAAAAGTACTTACTTCAGATTTGGTTCATCAACACTCTCCTGTTTATCCGCATTAGCATAGACTTAAATACTACGAATAGACGTCCAGTGGAAATAGCAGCACAAAAAATGCCTCAATAATTCATAAGATGGCACCACTCGTATTAAAAATTCAAAGAAAACTGTGCTAGCACCCTTGTGTACGAGCAGCGTGTCATTGTTTCCAGGACAACCGCATTCCGCCTTTTTTCTGATGTTTCGGTGTTGTCAAATTTATACGGACAAAAAACTAGACAAGAATTCTCTTTGCTATTTGCGACTTTCGAAGAAATAAATTATTGCTTGGATTTCAAAGAACTAATTTTCAAAATCCATTTAAAAAAAATCCATTTCAGCTTTCACTAGAAATAGAAAACTTAACAATTTACAAAATAAGTGAAATTTATTTATATTAAAAAAAAATCTTAACATTAACAATTTATTAATTTGCGTATAATATTTAGTATAAAATGCAGTAATAAAAAAATTGGTGTCTTAATGTATGGTTTGGCCTATTTAATGATTTTGGACTAGTTATTTTAGAACTATTGGCAACAGCGTAACGCGCGAATTTGAATTATGACAGAAATGCGCGCCATCTCGTATCTAGCATCTAAAATACCAAAGCCTGAATTGAATTTGGAGGCTCGCTTTCGATAGCGAGCCTCCAAATAGCGTCGCAGATTTTTACCATTTGACTGGACGTCTATTCGTAGTATTTAAGTCTATGGCATTAGTTACACCTATACTCTGTCCAACCAACCTACGGAGTGACAAACAACAAAACCTTCAAAAAGGTTTGTTGCTATTGGTCATTTATCAGCCCGCTGTACACTGTAGAGTGACGTTTTGTAAGATTTTGAAATAAATAAATGGCATAAATCAGTGTTCAGTGTAAACCTGACCGCCAATCTGACTCTGTCCTACTCCGCAGGCTCGTTGGATAGAGTGTAGGAGCAAAGCTGGGCAGAAAACAGTTAATCCGTTATCCGTTAATTAACGAAGTTGTAAAAATTGCCTAAATTTAACTTTCAATTAACCTAAAAAATTAGTAACTTTCGTTACATTGGACCGTTAACTTTAGTCCGTTACCTTCGTTAATGACGCCATTTTGTTTGCTTGAATTGCGCGTCAAGGTCAATCCTGTCAGTTCGCACAGGCGCAGAAAGATTTTTGTGCTGACTTTCTTTCAGAATCGATTCCCAATTTTCAGTTCGCTCTTTTGGTTTCCGCACTACGCAATTTGGAACTGTTCTAAAATGATTCTAAAGTTTTGTTTTGGTTTCACTTCGAAATAGTTCGTAATCATTCTGCACATGCGCATGTTATGAAAAGCGTTTTCGTTTTTTCAGAATCGTAACAATTCTGGGATTATTCAAGAACAGTTCTCTCAGTTCCTGCTCTGAAGTATAGGAACTGTTTTGGAATTTTGTGATTTGCGGCTTGTTTTGCTTCAGAATCGGTTCAGAACTAGTATCGGAACAGTCCTCTATGATTTTCTGTGCGCAAGCAGTTCTGCGCAATCCCAGAATCGTTCCAAATTTCGAATCAAAACAGCTACTGATCTCAAACCCGATTCCGTACAGTGAGAGCGATGCGCAAGCCCTTAGTTCAAACATCAGTAACTTTTGGATGATTACTCTTAACTGATAACTTTAACTTGCGCTATATTTTCAAAAATTTTACGATTAACAATTATCGAAATCAACTTTTTAGGTAGCAAATTAACGATTTACGAAGTTTACTTCTCGATTAACTTGCTCACCTTTGCAGGAGGCATATAAACCCCACCGATTTTGACTACAAAAGAGTCTCATCAGAAAACAAGAAGATGAATTCCTTCAAAAGAAATTCCTTTAAGCATGAATTTCTCTCTATACATTTCAAATTTTTCAAGTGTGCGATTTATTCGAGGAATTAAAGCCAATTCGACTTGAGAAAATTTTCAATCAAAAGAAATATCTTTCGGAAAACTCTTTAAAAATACTTCAAAAAAACTCTTATCCTTGAATTTTGAAACTTTCTTCTAATATTCGTTTTGAAAATATAAACTAAATCAAAACAAATGTGATCACTGAGATGCTAGGCAAACTTCGGGAGAGGTCGATGTCATCCACCGAATCAGCCAATAGGAACCGGGTTATCCACCTGCACCTCACTGGATCACGGCCCGCTATTACTTTTGATTTAGTCTATTTCCAAAACGAATATTTAGGTATGGTAACGTTTAATCAGAAATCAACAGAATCGGTTTCAAATTTTTGAGATAAGAATCCTTCCCAATCTTAATCAAGTCAAATAAGACTAGAAAATCGACACCAAAAATGTTCAAGGTACCTAAGCGGTACCTTGAGATGACGATTAACCCTCCATTTGAATACGTTAAGGCTAAATCCAGTTTCAGAGGTACACCACCAAAAAGAAGCCCTATATTTAGAGGTCTTGAAGGTAGCCAACTATACCACATACAAATGGGATGGGATGCCTGTGAAGTTCTTGTGGTACTTAAATAGATTCTCCTAGCAGGAATGAGGCTGGCCAAATCGTCAGAACATCTCCCATGGTAATAGCGATAGAATAACGACAAGTCGGCCACCTTGCGTCCATGTTCGAGAGATTGCAATGAATCGGTGAGAATGGGATTATTGATCATTTTATTGCTCTTCTTCATACTGCATCTAAAGAGCCATCAATAGTGCCTACGAAGGCTTGGGAGCATCGCTCCAGATGTGAATATACTATTCCATAGATGGTCTGCTTTGAGCCCTATAAAGTTGTTCGAAAGTAAAGAAGTTTATCGATGCTGTCAATGCTGAAGAGATACTGCAAATATTGATTGAAATATTTTGTTCCGACGTCCTTAAAATTATGTTATCAATGGAGTTGCTGTTGCTTGAGTTTTGGGAGCAGTGAACTTTACTAGGTTGTTAAGGCCGCAGTTGGTAATGTTGAGGAATATTATCAGTATCGAAGTATCTTCTTTCAACACATTGGGTTGCTGCAGATTTGATGGCTTCAATTTCAATTCTGTCTTGGTGGGAAGAAACATCAGATTCTAAAAGAGCATGTTTCTTTTGGAAATTTTGCACGCTTCTCCATAATCTTCAGACATCAATTATTGTCCTTCAATTTCGCTTAGCCACAACTCAATATCTTCAGTGGTCCTGTAGAATTGTTGTTCCTGACTGGCTTTTTAAAGTTTTGAATTTTTCTTGTCAGTAGCTTGGACTAAATTTTCCCAAAGCACGATTTCTTCCATACGAAACTGAATTATTGGAGCTGCATAATGATTGGCTTCTACTGCCTCTTGGCCTCCATTCTTGTTTTATAGGTGCTTGATTCTTGTTCAAAGTTTTGGTGTTTTTGTACTTTGCCACCTAAATTGGTGGGGTCCAAGTAGGTACCTTCCGTCAAGAGTAAATTTGAGTTTTTCGTTAATCCAACCTTTGGTTTCATTACAATCTGTTTCAAACTACTGTAGCTTATAGAGAAGAACTTGGGTCCCTGCCATAGTCATCAGACGAAAGGAACACATCTTTTTCAGAAATGCATGCAACTGTTTCGTCAACATTTCTATTGAACCTTTGAATTCCATGAGCACCATAAAGTTTCTCGAGACGCATCAAAGTCATTTGCTTCAATATCTACCAGGCAGTGTTGAGTTCATCTTTTCTGGTGGTAATTTGATCCTTTTCTGGTTGACCATCTTGAAGAAGCTTATCAGCTAATTCATTCACTTCAGTTACACGATATTCTTGAGTAGCAATTTCTTTCTGCAACTCCTCAAATTTCCTTTGAAGTACTTCTACTTGTTCAAAATCATGTCCAAACTCTTCAATTGACAAAAATGCGGTCTGTTCATTAATTCAAAACATAACTTCATCGCAGTGACTGATAAATTGCACCAATACAAAAACTTGTTGTAGCTTCATGCCTTTTTCGGCCAATTTGGATGGAAGCTGTTCCCAAAGACGATGGAGCTCTTCAAGTCTTCTACGATTAGTTTGGATTCATAATGGTTCTGATTTATCATTTCATGTCAGGAGCTTTTCTATAATCCAGGATTCGAGTTCATCAGCGTCACGTTTGAAGTAATGGAATCGCATAATGGTCAAGATCACTGTTGATAGAGTAAATCTGTTCTCGGGCGAGGTGTATGGAAGTAGCTGCAGTAAGCGGTTTAAGATGCCATCACGCTACTATCGTCTGCAACGCTGTATATGGGGTTTCTTGCTTCACATTTAACAAATCATTTATGAGAAACAGTGTTGGGGACAGAACTGAGCCTTGGGAAACGCCGGCATCGGCAGTATATCAGAAGACACACCATCGACCACAACATGCAGTGACCTGCCTTTCTAAAAACTGCCTGCCCAGCCAATGGCAAAATTCGTTCGGAATACGAATGAAGTTTGCTGAGGAGACCTTTGTACCACACTTGATCAAAAGCCTTGGAGATGTCCAATGCTACAATTCTGGATTCGCCATGTTTTTCGAGAGTCGAGTTCCAAATATGACTGACATATGCCTGCAGATCCCCTTTTGATCTTCTAGAATGAAACCAGTCAGTACTGTTTGTCAGGGATGGGCTTCGAGGTATTCAACCAGTTTCAGTTGACTGCCTTTTCTATTACTTTCGAAAGTACGGATTCTTGCCCTTTTTTGGTATGTGCTGCACTCTGGATAGACGGCCGGAAAAACGTCTCGACTGTAAGGGAGTGAAAACAGTTTGCAAGGAACCGAAGCCAATTCTTGTGCGCAAGTTTTGGGGACAGATGGTGGAATACCGTCGGGACTACAAGATTTCCCAGTGTCAAGTTGAAGAAGAATTTTCCTAATAGTTCTAGGTCTAAATGCAACGTTGTCCATGTAAGAACTAAATGTGTGGTAGAGCCTGAGCCAAATTGTTTGGCAAAGAGATCTGCTTTTTCCTTTGACGATTACAATGAAATTATCGTTCTTAACTAAACGTGGGAAGGAAGAAGATGTGAATTTTTTTCCCATGGTCTTGGCAAAGAACCAAAGGGAGTAAAGGGACCCTCATCCACTTGGGCAGTCCAAAAGTCGATTGCGCACTTGTCGGTTGTGTAACTTCTTAGCCTCCTTGGTTATACGGTTTCAATCATTTCTGGCAGCCGTAAAGGACGATCGAGTTTGTTCCCATTGGTTTTTACGCCAGGCACGACATGCGGTACTCTTTTTTACAACCACTCGGACACACTGCTTGTTAAACCAGGGTTTTCTGGTACAGGATGTTTTATTGGAGTGTGGAAAGTACATTTCCATACCTGAGGAAATTATTTCGGTTGTCTCTTGTGCATCTTCCCTCGGAGTAATTTTTGGATTTAAAGCAAACATCGGACACGGAAAGGTCGACAATAAGAGCTTCAGGCCTCTCCAGTCTGCAGCTTTACAATGCCACACCCTACAAGGTATTGGGAAGGGGCTGAGGGTATATAACAAACGAATTTCGAGAGGAAATCAATTTGTGGTCTGATTTGCCCAAAGACGCAAACACATCTACCTTGTAAGTTATTAGTGATAAGGAACAAATCGAGTGAATTGGCCTGCTGAGAAACGGGATCGGTAATACGTGTGGGCTCTTCTTCCAACTGGATTAGGCCGTGTGAAATGGCAAATGCTTCATCAATCCTTCCAGCATGGGTTGTTTTCTACGAAAACTTAACCAACTCTGAGTTATGAACATTAAAATCTCCCAAGAATATAATCTTAGAGTTCGGATAGGCCTCCTGGATAGAATCAACTGAATTAGCCAGATTTTCGATTAGAGTTCATAACTGGTCGTTGGATGAAAGATACACTACACAACTAACCCAAACTTGACCATCTTCATATAATACATTTTTAGCCAAATTACATCGTGTTCAGGTGATTCAAGATCATCATCTCTGTGGCAAGAGAGCTTACTGCAAAGCTTACTGCAAGAAAAGACGGAAAGTCCCCTGTTAAGCGAAATCGCGTATAAAGTTCATAGCCGGAACAAAGGAGATGGATTGGGTTGACAGAAGATTTAACTTGCGTCTCCGTTAGTACCAGCATATGTGGATTTTTGTGTTCAATAAGTTGGTGCACTGAGTTTTGAAACTTGATGTAGACTCCCTTCGTAAACCCTCCTCCGGAGATCCGAATGGGAGTGTATTTTAACTCCGGAATGCTTCACCATCAACATTTTTAATCCGAGTGATTGAGGATAAAAAATTAAAAAGAAGGATAAAAATAATCGAGAGAAACGGAGTCTGTGGTCTTGCGACTGAACTACAAACATCTACATCCAGTTCAATACCACAACTTGATGATTTTGGATTTGAACAACTTCTCTACACAAAAGTCGACATCAAAGTGCAGTGTCAAGTGCCAGGTCAGGACGCATTGCAATGTTACACAATTACTAATCTTTTTCATCAAAAAAGATATACTTACCTTCAAATGTCACCGGCAAGTTTAATGCGAGTCCGACAGTATCAAACATTCTTCATTCAAGATATGGATCGGCGAGGACCTTGACTCTGACTTTTGCAAATCTGAAAAATTTTCATCACGTACGTTGTTTTCGGGCTCACGTGTCACGTCATGGTACCGATAAGCGAGGTACCCGCAACTAAATTCAACGTGCTCTGCGTGCCCGACAAAATAAAACGTTTCTGTTGCATACCGCTCTGGTATAATAGGTACTTTTTTCTTTTGTGGAATATTAAATGAGTTTAGGAATTTCGTATTCGCGGTGCATAGACGATTCTTCGTCGTTGTTTAAAATTGAATTCTTAAATCGTTTTCCAAACTAAAATTACTTAATCTCGGCATTAAATCTTATATGAAAACGAACGGTACAAGAAGGTATATTAACTGTGTGCGCTGCGCAATTACCAGCGATAGTAATTTTAAAACGAGATTAGTACTGAAAAGTAGAGCGCTAGATTAAAAAGAGGCCTTTATAATCTATTATATAAACTGATGGAACAATAATAATCTGATACTTGCCTGAAGATTGGTAATTAATATAAAATTTACTTAGGAATTTTTTCCCACACAACATTGTAACAAATCGATTAACTATCGAAATTGTTATTCAGATATTCGTTTAACGCCTTTATCCTGTCAATAATTATTACCGGGTGTATGAGATTTCATTATGGCCAGCAATTTTTTAAAATTGAAAACTCCCGTCCAAAATCAAAATAGGCGCCATTTTATTAACATAACCTCAACTCTTGTTCTGTTCACCAAAGTGCTACCTACTAGCGCCATCTTTGTAATAAATGCATTACCTATAATGTGTACCAGATTTATCTATTTATTACTATTACCTCACACCAGTTAATTTAAATTCAGATCTACTTTGGTGTTATATTTGTTTCAACATTTACTGACTTGGGAAACTTGAATCGACGCGACGGCCATTTTAGTTATTTGTGAAATCGAACATTCCTGTACAGTATAAAATTAGGGCTTTTCACTACCAGTACAAGGTAATTAAGTCCGAAATGTCTTCTTGAAGATGTTTCGTCACGATGTTTTACGTAAAACAATTACCCTAATCGGAGAGAGAAAGTCCATGCTCGCTTGATTTATGACCAGATAAGTTATCATTTATGTTGTAGGGTATAACGGGATCTGTTATAACTGATTTAAATTTATTATCCAAAACGTTTACTCGCCAGAAGCCTGAGGAAGGTGCAATTAGCTTCAAAACGTTACGGATAATGATAAAATTGATAAAATCGATCCAAACATGTTTCCGTTATATCCTACACTATAAGAACTCGAGGGAAAAATTATCAAAACTGGGTTATAACACTAACACTCGCGACAGAAGTGATCCATTATGTTCCTAAGACCATAAAAATCTGTATGTATATGGTGATTTGTTCCATTTTTTCTCGCTAGAGACAGCAGCGTCAATCAGCGCTATGATGGTCTTGTAATAAAGGATTGTCTTGTAATTAATTTGGCGTATTCTTGTCGCTAGATGGCAGCGTCAACGAATAAGTTCTCAAGAGCATAATCTCCTCATAATTTGCACTAATTTGTTCAAGTGTTCAAGAACTATCTAATGTTGATCCAATCGGTTCATACTCATCTGTGGTCAGGAGTGGTTGAGACGATTTTCGAACTAAATTTTGTTCTGATGTTGAGGTTAGATTTATTCACAAATAAAAAATTTCCATATTTATTTTGCTTGTGTCTGTATTTTAAGTAAAGTGTGTTTTTTTTTTAAAGATAAAAGTCAAAATGACATTAAGTTGGCAATATAATGTAAAATTGTCAATGCCTTCAAATTTTTTATGTAGAAAAGGCTTGTGTTGCCAACATAGTTATTAAATTTTTGACTTGGGGTATTATCTTTAAAAAAAAAACAAACTTTAGTTCTGTGTCTTGGTTCTGTGTTCTGTTATTATTTCTTAGAAAAAAAGTGCCCTGGACACCAGGGCCGTGGCGCCATCTATTAGAAGTGAGTTATAGGAGTGACATTTTATCATTTTAACATTTTGAAAATAAACATTTAAAAATTAAACAAAGTCCTGCATTCGCTTGAAGATAAAATGTTGTATGCCATTATTGCCATTCGAACCAGAAGGTCTTTTTGTGCTCGATTGTATTGTCAAGCTCAGTACACAGAGCCGCAACTAGGGGGTGGCGAACTAGGCGGGCGCCTAATTTAATCCATCCATATTTTACAATCCAAAAAAATGCAACGGTTTTACGCGTCATTTGTCGTAAAACGGAAATTTATTTTGCTTGTGTTACATCTGTCTTTGTCAACCATCAATAATACGAATATCGATAGTAATCATATAAATTATGTTAAACACAGTGCGCGCGCAAAAGGCAGCAG